CGTCTGGGAATCAAGGTCGGTTCGTTCCAAGACGGCGCCGGCGCGAATCATGACGTGACTGGGGGGGAGGGGAGGCGTGGCCGGTCACGGAATAGCGCTGGCGTTATCGCGAGTGATAACAAAATGGGGTCCAGGAGAAGTACACGCCATCATGGCAGGAGCGTGACGTAGACGGGTTGGCCTCTCACCCCTGGCGGATGGTCCACGGACACTGGTGGACACGGGTGTCGCTCTCCTCTTTATCCGAGGAGGAGGAGGAGGCGGAGGCGGAGGGGAAGGAGTCCCTCCCCATCGACCACACTGACCACAACGACCTCTCTTTACCCCCATCGCCTCGGCGGAGGACCATTCAAACGCTCAGGCGTCGTGTTTTTTTTGTCCAAGGCGCGTGCATGGAGAAGCTCTTGACCCCATCCCTGGGGTCCGCGGCTCCCGAAAACCGCGCAATGGGCTGCATGTGCAATCCCCAGGGTCCACGGCTCCCGAAAACCGCGCAAAGGGCTCCCGAAAACCGCGCAAAGGGCCGCGAGCTCTCGACCCCATCCCCGGGGTCCGCGGCTCCATGTGCGGCTCCTCCCCCAAAAAAACACATGCCCATGATGTTTTCATTTTTTCTTTGGGGGGGGGGGACAGAGAGAACAACATAGCAGGAGGAGGAGGAGGAGGAGGAGGAGGAGGAAGAGAGGAGGAGGATGAGCAGGACGAGGAGGCGGAACAGGAGGAAGAGGAGGGGGGGTAAGACGAGGGGCCAGAGGAGGAGAAGGGGAAAGATAAGGATGGAGCCGAAAACCTTACGAAACGCCTACGAAAACAGCCTCCGAAAGGCGAGGGGCTCCACGATCCCCCGTTCTCTCCTCCTTCCCCTCCCCCGCCCGCCTGCTCCCGCCGCCGCCCAGGCCGAGAGGGCCGCTTCGCACCGAGGGTGCGGGCGGCGCTCGCGGGCAGCCAGGAGCCTCCCGCCCCGCTCGCCTCTTCGATGGCTGCTGCCAGAAGGGTCCTCCTCCTCCTCCTGCTCCTCCTCCTGCTCCTCCTCCTCCTCTTCCTCCCACTTCTACTGCTACTACTCTTCCTCCTCTCCTCCTCCTCCTCCTCCTCTTCCTCCTCCTCCTCCTCCTGCTCCTCCTCCTGCTCCTCCTCCTCTTCCTCCTCCTCCTCTTCCTCTTCCTACTCCTCCTACTCCTACTCCTACTCCTACTCTCACACCTAATTACTCTTACTCCTCTTCCTTCTTTTCTCCTCCTCCTCCTCTTCCTCATATTCCTTCTCCCCCTTCCCCTACTCCTACCCCTACTCCTCTTCCTCCTCCTCCTCCTCCTCCTCCTCCTCCTCTTCCTCCCCCTCCTCTTCCCACTCCTGCTACTCCTACTCCTACTCCTCTTCCTCCTCTTCTCCTCCTCCTCCTCCTCCTCCTCCTCCTCCTCCCCCTTTTCCTCCTCCCCGTCCTTTTCTCGCAGCGGCGTTTGCAGCAGTATCGCTTATGCCGAGGACGGGGACTGTAAGCACTGCCCTGGGGTGTGTGGCACATTGCATCACAGGTACTGGGCTTGTCCTGCATTCAATGGCGTGCGAGAGCACGCGGTGGGCGATGCCATTTCGGCAGCAGCGCGCCGCACAGTGCCAGGTGATCAGCTGTACCCGACAGGGCTGTATCCCGACTCTTTCTTGCCAGCCCTTCCCCCTCGCGATGACAGTGGTGCTTGGTGTTATGATCGTGGTGCCAGGGCCGAGGACTGCTTCAGCGTGACGGGCTCAGTTTTCACCGACGGTTCCTGCAAGAAGTTCCTGCGCTGGGGCGTCGCCGACTGTGCTGGCTGGGATTTCGTGGTGGTGGGGGACGGCACGTACTCGGGCGCAGCCTTCGGGCCTCTCCCTGGGCTTCGCCAAGCCTCTGGGCATGCTGAGCTGTACGCGGTGCTGCAGGTCATGACGGTGGGAGTGGCCCCGCTGCGGATCTTCACCGACGACATGCCACTACTGGACGGTCCCCAGCTTGGACGACGATGGTGCTGCTCCCCGAGGCTCGATAATGTGGACCTCTGGCAGCGGATCTACCACTATGTGGACGATCATGGCGGGGTGGCCTTTGGTGATGATGCGGGCGTGCCTATCCGCGTGACGTACGTCAAGGGCCACTCCTCGGATGACACCTGGGAGAGGAGGTGCAACGGTTTGGCCGACATGGCGCCCAAGAGGGGGCGCAGGATCCACGACCTCCCTCTGGCCGTCGTGGAGGCGCACGCCGACGCCCTGCAGCACGTGCGCCAGGTCGCCGCGTGGGTCGGCACGTCCTCCCGCATGGTCTTCGACGGCATCGTGCCGCCCGACCGCGACCATTTGCCCAGGCGCCGCGCTGCCCCCCTGCGCCGAGTGAGCAGCTGCGGGCTGAGCTGCCAGGGGCCGCCCGAGCCTGCACCCCAGGGCGGGCAAGGCGCCTCGAGACTCAAGCGGGGTGTTCGTAGGGTTGCCGAGGCGGCGGCCCTCTGGGGCTTTGAGGGCGTTTCACTTGATGTTTCCCGCGTGGCGTCGGGCTCCGTGGGATTGGACGCTCTGGAGCTGTCAGCGGGAGCCGAGGGCCCTTTCGAGGCCAGTGCGGCGGCCGGCCCCGATGGGGCCACCGCCGACGACGGGGAGTCATGGCCCCTGATTGCAGGGGGCCTTGAGCGGCCCCTAGCTTTCAAGCGGGTGAGGTTCAGGACGGAGGAGGAGCATTGGGGATCATTGGGGCGAGGACCTTGGGGAGGTGGCGGGGCGGCTTGCCAAGGCCGCCCGCTCCCGAGGCTCCGAGGAGCCCGTGCCCCCCCCCCCCCACCCTGACCCCCGCGCGCGCACCAGGTCGGTGGGGGACGTCATCGAGGACTGGTCCTCGGGCGGGCCGCACCCGAAGGCCCCTCGGCCCCTGGCCCCGCCTCCCGCCGACGGCCCTGGCGGCTTCCCCCCCCCCCCCCCCTACGGCCCTGGCGGGCCCCCGCCCTGCATGAGGGCTCGGGCCTCTGGGGGTCCGCAGCGGGGTTTGTCCTGGGCCTCGCGTGATGCTGTCCTCCCTGACGTCCCCCTCCCCGCTCAAGGCCCTGTCGGGCCTCGTAGCTCACGCGGGCATCAGGTCTGCCTTGCTGGGGCCACCCCTATTCTGCCTGCGCTGCGGCGCTCGGCCCAGCCGTCGGCTTCTCGGTCGAGGCTGTGGGCCCAGTGCGAGGGCGTTGCATCCAGTAAGGATGCCACCTACCTTAGGCCCCTCAAGGTGGGCAAGGACCGTGGCGGGGGGTCCCTGCCCACTTCTCCTTTCTAACGACGCATGCTTGTGGCTTCGTCTTAGATAGCCCCCTCTGGGTTATTTTCCTCTCGTGCGCGCGCTCGTCATTGTTCCTGTGATTTGCCTGCCATTGCTTCTGCTCTGCGCACTCGTTTTCGGTCTGGTCGTGCTCCTCCCCCTCTTCCTCCTCCTCCTCCTCCTCCTCCTCGTCCTCCTCCTCCTCCTCCTCCGCCTTCTCATTGCTCGACACTTGCCTTCCGACTTCCTCGAAGATGGGGTTCTCCCAGATTCAACGTTCCGAGGCCCATCGGCACCCGTCCGGCCTTGCGTCGTCACGACGCGATCCCGAGCGCCCGAAGGTTTCAGGTCTCAGCCATTCCCTGAGTTTCGCACCCTTCTTAAGCTCATTGTGCGCACGGGCCCCCTTCCAGCCGTGATCCTTTGATGGGCAAGTGGGTGGGGGTTGCATCGTGCGACGATCCTGGGCCGATGGTTCGGGCCCGCCTCCGAGTGCTGCTTGATGTGCCCCTTGCCCAGTGTGCCCCCAGGACTTCCAAGGAGTCCCCCAAAGCACCTCTTCCGAGGCCCAGAGGCCCCATGGGCCCCCAACTGGAGCGATCAGCTGGGGGCACCGGCCAGGGGCACTTGTAGCAACCCCCGATCGGTACGATCGAACTGGGTACGGAGAGAAGGGTACGAAGACCGACAGCGTTGCCTGTTCGTTTTGAGCAGCTCGTTGCCTGTGTCGCTGCGGATGTTGTCCACTTGAGACAAAAGGCAGTTTTTCCAACAGCGGCCGCTGTCTATTTGGACAGCATGTGTTCTAGGCATCATGTACATTGGTTCCGTATCCATTTAAGGCGTCCTGTTCGGCGACTTGCACGTCCCTCGGCGGCCCTCGGCGCGCTGGTCGTCGTCGTTGTTACCGTTCTGGTTCGCCCCCGGCCGTCCTGTCCCATTCGTGGTTCACTCTTCGTGGCTTCAGGGGAGCACGGAGAGAGAGAGAGAGAGAGAGAGAGAGAGAAAGAGAGAGAGAGAGACAGAGAGAGATTGAACCACCGAAAGAGAGAGAGAGAGAGAGAGAGAAAAACAACATATATACAACGACATATGTATATATACATATGTATATATCACGTATATACATATATATATATATATGTATATATATATACAGAGGAAAATAAAGAGATAGAGAGAAACAACGAAAAGCAACAACACAACAAAACGAGGAGCAGGAGGAGGATGGAGGGGGAGGAGAGGAAGAGGAGGACGATCGAGGATGGAGGGTGGAGGATGAAAGATCTGAGGAGGAAATTTCAAGCAGAGGCGACTGCAGACGACAAGCGGGAAGGCGGGACACGACAGAATTTGCAAGTGAGAGCAGGTGCGTTCATTAAATGTACAGCTCGTTATAGCTGGGAAGAAGAAGAGGAGGAGGAGGAGGAGGAGGACGAGGAGGAGGAGGAGGAGGAGCGGGGGGAGCTGCAGCAGGATGTTTACGTGGCGGATGGGGAGGAGGTGGTTCGAAAGTGTCTCCCCCGCCAGCACTACCTATGCAGGCGCCCAGTGATGCTGAAGCCAGGGACATGATCACATAATGAGAACGGCACACGCACATGTTCTCTGAGGTCTGCGCGAATTTCTTGGATCGACGCCAGGTCCCCCCGTTGGCGGCTCCGCGCGACAGGGAGGGGCGTCGAACGCAAATCCAATATATTCGAGCCGACCCCCTACGGTGCATTATGTTTCCTGTTCCCCACATCCTGAGTGGGGCTCTTGTTTTCTCTGGACTCCCCGCGCAGACCTCACCCCAACACCCCCTTTGCTCCTCGTCACCATCGCACCCTCATCATCAGCATCATCATCATTGTCATTAACATCATCATCATTATCATCATCATCATCGTCATCATCATCCTCATTATCATCGTCATCACCACCACCATCATCATCATCATCATCATCATCCTCATTATCATCGTCATCACCACCACCATCATCATCATCATCATCATCTTCTTCTTCTTCAACAACAACATCGTCATCATCATCATCATCGTCATCATTATCATCGTCATCACCACCACCATCATCATCATCATCATCATCATCATCATCTTCTTCTTCTTCTTCAACAACAACATCGTCATCATCATCATCATCGTCATCATCATCATCGTCATCATCAACATCATCGTCATCGTCATCGCCATCATCATCGTCATCGTCATCTTCCGCATCACACCGTCGTCATCATCACCATCGTCTTCTTTACCATCATCACTATCATCCGTTGCCGTTGTGGCGCAGGATGCTCGGGCGTTCCTTGGCGCGGCCGCCCCCGCGCGTTCCTGCCGCGACGTCGGCACTGCGGCCAGGCAGCCTCCGTCGCGAGGCCGTACACTCAGTTCCTCGTCTAGTTCGGTTCTCCCAAGTTCCTACACGCGCGGCCTGCATGGCGCTGCCGTCCACGCGGGCGACGCTGGGACGCCCGCCAGGCGACTCATCGTCTCAGTGTGTGCACTACGCCATGGTCGTGCACCTCCAGTCACGAGCATGCTGGTAATCGCTTCTGCCGCCTGCAGCCTTGCGCCGACGACGACGACACCGTGCACGATCTCCATATTCGACGCGATCGCCGGGCGCATCACTCAGGAGCCCATCGACGACGTGCCTGCCGCGCCGCTGTCTCGCTCGCCTTGCTCTTTTGATCCCTCGATCGTCGCGACGTCGCTGGCCGGGGATGCGGGCTGGCACGCGCCTGCCTTGTATCTAACGAGCGCTTTATCCTCTCCGAAATTCATGCCAATTCCACACATATCCCGGCAGCGTCGACGAGATGCTGCCGCTGCACGCGGCGTTTCACGCGCGGAACACCACGCACCCCGTGCTGAGATTCGCGCTCCACGTGCGGATCCCCAAGCCCCGCGCGAAAATCAGCACGTCACGCGCCACGGGCGGATCCTCAAGCTCCACAGGTTGAGCTTCACGCGTCATGTGCTCATCATCGCGCTCTCCACATCCCGATCCTCATGCCCAACTAGCGGACCTTCGCGCTCCTCGTGACTAGCTGCGTGCAGCACGTGATGATGTCCACGCTCCACGCGCGGAAGATCGCGCTCCACGTGGGGCGGAGAGGGCGCACGCACCACGGGTCCGTCATCCTGCTCCACCTGCGACCTCCACGGGCGGATCCTCGCGACACATGGGTTGAGTTCCATGCGTCACGCGCTGATCACCGTGCTCAGCATCTGGATCATCACGCTCCGTGGTGCGAGCTTTACGCTCCACGCGCGGATCCTCGCGCTGCGTGGGCTGATCTCCCCGCCCGACTTGCGGAACGTCAGGCTCCGCGTGCGGAGCCTCGCGCCCCACAGCCTGAGCCTCGCGCGCCGTTCGCTGCTGTCCACGATGAACATGCGGATCTTCACGCTCAACGGGAGGTACCTTATGATGCTCCACGTGCGGTCCTCGTGTTGAACAAGCTCTAGAGGACAGCGCCGTGTGCTTCGCGAAGTTCGTGTCTTGGGCCTGCGACGCGGTCGGCGACCCTCATGAGGGCGCCGCGCTCCTCGTGCCCTCCCTCCTTGGCGCCAGTGAGCAGCGCCACGTGAAGGCGATGGACGAGATGAGAAGCGAGATGGAGACCGACGCCAAGCTCCAGCTCAAGGAGCTCGCCGATGCCTTCACTGTTCGCACCGACGCCGTGCTGTCGGCCGTCTGCAAGAATTACACCAGATGCCCACCGACAAGGACGCCATCGTCCCGAAAATCCACGACCCGATCTCCACCAATGTCCCCACCATGCACGTCGCGCTCATGCGCATCCATAATTGTACTACTTCGTCATCAACACCTACCCCGACGGCTTCACATCGGTTTATCGGTTTCGTCCGCTAGCCTCTTTGTGATGCTTGGGAAACTGGCTCATTTCGTCTGAAATGGGTGGGTTGCTTCCGGTCGGGCATTTGTGCACGCGGAGCGGCGGTCGTCTCCCAACCGCAACGAATTGCATCGACATCATCATCATCATCATCATCATCATCATCATCATCATCATCACCACAATCAGCAGCATCATCATCTCCATGGTCGTCATCATCGCGCGTACACCCACCAACCTCGATCATTCACCATCGCAGTCGTGGCCATCACACAACCATCATTCTTAACATCATCATAAAGGCCGTCATAATCACCACCGCCACCATCACCATCACCATCACCATCATCATCATCATCATCATCATCATCATCATCATCATCATCATCATCATCATCATACTCATCATACTCATCATCACCATCACCATCACAATCATCATCATCATCATCACCATCAGCAGCGTCATCCGCGTCGCGTGCAGTCACGCACTCACTCATACACAGTCACCTCATCCCACACGTTCCCACCCACGTATTCACATTATATTGAGGACGCCTTGTGCGGGGGCCTCGTTTGTGAGCGAATTGTGGGGAAGTCTCAGGCGGGAGCCTTTTCATTCTAGGACCGCCAGATCATGTTGGTAATCCGAGCGGTTATCCAGATCATGTAGATGTCGTCCTTCGTGGGCTCGTGAGGCGAGGATCCAGAGGATGTCTCCTGTGGGAGGATCGGCCGTGAGTGAATTGTGAGGAAATCTCAGGCGGGAGCCACTTCCGTATGGGGCCGCCAAATCATTTTAGTAATCCGAGCGGGTCGTCCCTTGTGATTGTCGTGATTGTTTGGTGCCTGAGGCGTTGATTTGGAAGACGTCTCGAGCCGGGGCCTCGTCTGTGAGTGGATTGTGGGGGAGTCTCAGGCGGGAGCCCGCCGCCAGATAGCAGGAGGAGGAGCAGCAGCAGGAGCAGGAACAGGAACAGGAGCAGGGGAGGAGCAGGCGCAGGAGGGAGTGGCACGTGAGGGGGAGAGGCAAATGAGGAAATCAGCAGGACGAAACGCACCAGGTGGAGGAGCGGAGCAGCAGGAGCAGCAGCAAGAGGAGCAGCAGCAGGAGGATGATAGGACGACGACGATGGCCTGGCGAGGAGGACGAGTGCAGGACCCCTCGTCCTCCCCTGCTCCGCCCTCCCCCCCTTCCTCCCCTCGCCCTCGTCCTGCTTTCTGCCCGCTGCCCCCGCGCGCCCCCAGCGCCCCCCCGCTCTGGAGGGCGCTGGCGCCGACCGCGACCTCGAGGCGGCCCGCGGCGGCAAGCCGGGGGGCGCCAGCAAACGCGCGGGCAAGGACGGCGCGGCGCCCGCCGGGGGTTCTAGAGGAGCGCCCACGAGGCAGACGGGGCCCTGAGGGAGGAGGAGGAGGAGGAGGAACAGGAACAGGAACAGGAACAGGAACAGGAACAGGAACGGGAAGAGGAGGAGGAGGAGGAGGAGGAACAGGAGAAGGGGGACGAGGAGGCGAATAAGGAGGATCGAAGAAAAGCAAGCCGGCATAACCAGAAGTTGTCGGAGTTCCGCGTGGATTTCTTGATTCGGCGGCGGTGCTCCGTTGGCGGCGCCTCCGGCGCCCTATTGGCGCGCTCCGCGCGCCATGGCAGGAGGAAAAGGATGATGAGGAGGAGGAGGAGGAGGAGGAGGAGGAGGAGGAGGAGGAGGAGCAGGAGCAGGGGGAGGACGAGGACTTGGAGGAAGAGGAGGAGGAGCAGGAGGAGGAGGAGGAGGACCAATGTAAACCCAAGGCTCATCAACGATGTTGGAATGCACCCTCCCTCCAAGTTCACTTTTCATAGGCCCCCACAAGTCGTTATTTCCACTGAGGGAATCGCCCCGGATGGGGACAACCGTGGGAAAATTCTGAAAGTGCGACAAAACATTTGTCTCAGGTTTCCAACGCCCGCGAGATAACCTGATTGGCACGTCTTGGCGATCCTGAATCGCGCCAGAATGCCATTCCTGGGACATCAACACCGCGAACCAGCGTAACAGTTGCATCCGGACAGTCCTGAATCGTTTCAAAAACCATTTCTGATATGTTAACCATGGGAATCAGTGAAGCCCTGTATACTTGTATAACTATGGGGTAAGAGCCACAATTTGAAAAAGGGCACGTCCTCATTCCGCGAAGCTCTTGCAATTTTGTTAAAACGAATGTGCGCGGTGCCGGGAGCGAGAGCCGCATTTTGAGAACCACCTGCCCTCAATCCGTGAAGCCCTTGCGAATTCTTGAAGCGAATGCGCGCGGCGCCTTGCTAAGGCCAGATCCACATTTTGAAAACGACCCGCCCTCAATCCGTGAAGCCATGGCGATTTTTTGGAACGAATGTGCGCAGCGTTCGGGCGAGAACCACATTTTGGAAACGACCCGCCCACATTCCGTGAAGCTCTTGCAGTTATTTGTAAAGAGTGTGCGCGGCGCCCGGGCGAGAGCCGCATTTTCAAAAAATACCGCCCTCCATCTGTGAAGTTCTCGCAAGTTGTTTGAACGAAAGTGCGCGGCGCTGAGGCGAGAGCCACACGTTGGAAGCGCCCGCCGTCCATTTGCGAAGCGGTCGCCAGCTTCTTAGCTTCAGGCTCGTAGGTGGTGAGGAATCCTCAGGCGAAACGCCCAGCCCGCACATTCGACCGGCCTCGGGGTGCGACAGGGAGGAGTTATCTATAAGGAAGAGGAATGGAGGAGGAGGAGGAGGAGGAGGAGGACGAGACGGACGAGGAGCAGGAGGAGGAGGAGGAGGAGGAGGAGCAGGAGGATGATCGGGGCGGCCGCGGGGGGGGCAGGGAATCGCCGACGCCATCTTCAGTGGCGCGAAGATG